CGTTGGTGCGATGCGTGTCATCTTGGCGCCCTGCAGCTCTGGCTGGGCGGGCGGAGGGAAAACCTCTAAATTTGTTAGGATCCAACATGGATCAATCTAGTCTGTGGTAGTCGGGGGAAATCGCCATGGACGACAGTACAACAGAGATAGAAGCCGTCCTCTCAGAAGCAGAGTCCCTTGCCTCAGAAACGCATGAGGTTTTGCAGCCAGAGTCTTGTAATAGTCAGCCATCATATCCACGCAGCATCCTTGCAGGCACAAATCAGGTAAGTGATCATGTTAGCGCTTCGCATTCGATCACCTTGCCAGTCAGTGCACCGGTCTTTGATGCTTGGTGGAAGTTGCAAAGGGTTGCCAACAAAAGGCCACTCTTCGACGTCAGGCGGGACTTGTTCAAGCCCAAGTGGTTGAAAACGGAGAATTTTTGGAAGCCCCCTCAAATTGGAATGATGGCATCAGTTGTTGCAAATGCCTCGCCAATCAAACCGCCGCAAACCCTGTGCAGTGACATGGCCATCCAGAGACTAAGGTTTTCGACCATGGTCAAGTCCGAAGACCAAATCCAATATGAAGCATTTAGGAAACTGAAAGTGATCTTGTTGTCAGATCCTACCGCTTCGAAGCTAGGGAGATCCTTGGTGTCATCGGCCCGCTTGTTTGAGCCTGAGTCAAACTGGGAGAGTTCGTTTAGTGATGCATTTGCAGGCAAGGCAGTTGCAACTTTGGCCAAGAGGGCATCGTCCCTATGGAGATTCCATGAGTGGTGCATTGCAAAGAATCATGGACCTAGTGTTGTTGCAAATGAACGTGTAGTGTATGCATACATGGAGTACCTGAAGATCCATGGGTCGCCGACCACAGCAGACAGCTTCTTGCAAGCATGGACGTTCATCCACTACCAGGCAGGACTGCTTACCTACCCACTTGATGACATTTTGTCAGCCAGAGTCAAGGGAGCAGCAGCTTTTTGTAACTCTCTAAAGAGGCCACTAAGACAGTCATTGCCATTGACAGTGAAGATGCTGATAGGGCTAGAGAACATAGTTCAGCAAGCACCGTATGATCATTGGCGCGTGATAGCCGGACATATGCTTCTCTGTGTGGGTTCGAGCTCCAGATTTGGCGATGTCAAGTCCTTAGAATCCTTGCAGCTGTCAACCTCGGATGATATTCAGGTGTTAGAAGCTGAGTCCGCCAGTTTCAAAACGCAGCGTTTCAGTGAGAAGCAGAAGAAGCTTTTGCCGATCATATCTTTAGGATCTTTCTTCTCTAGGAGGCCGTGGGCTGAAGATTGGATGGAGTTGAGACAAAAGCGCAATTTGTCACTAGATCCAGCCCTTCCTGCCTTCAGTGAGATTCGACAAGAATGGCTTGATCGTCGCATGCTTACAGGTGAGGCGCAAGCATATCTGATCGAGTTCATGGAAAGCAGTGGGTTTTCCAGGGAAGAATTGAAAGGTATTGGATGCCACAGCCTTAAATGCACTCTTTTGAGTTGGGTGTCCAAAGGTAACTACTTGAATGTTGCTGATCGCCTGTCCATGGGCCATCACTTGTCCAGAGACAACCAATCCGCAGTGGTGTACGCCCGCGATGAGCTAACCAGGATCCAGGCCACCGTGCATCAGATGCTTGTTGACATCAAAACCAAAAAGTTTCGCCCCGATGGAACAAAGGCTGAGCGTTTGAGTGCTTTGATCAATCCGATTGAGCCCGAGGCAGAATCTGACACCGACGCTAGCGATGCGGGCCCCAGAGACGTGGAACTTGCGAGGCGCCCTAACGTTGTCAGACCTGCATGGGATGACGTGCCGTTGGACATCTTGAGCAATTTGAGGGTTCATAGGCATTCGGGTGTGGTCCACGTGCTCGATTCATCAAAGCGAAAGTTCAAGTGTGGACGATTGAGCACCCGGAACTTCCAAGAGATTGGTAGCGACGTCAATTGTTATGACAGCCCAATCTGCCTGCAGTGTCGCGTGTTGTGAAGAAAAACAGACCCGAGCCAAACGGTAGCGCAATACAGGGTAGTCCAGCTTTTTCGCATTCTGTGATGTGTCTTTGCTGTTATGTTGGGAAACGCGCGCAGAGCATCAGCGGCAACTCAACCGCAAACAGCTTTGCAGCCATGGCCCAAGAGAGATGTTGACAATTAGGGTCTTTGAAACAAAGTGTACAGCCAAGATAGAACCTTAATGGCTATGAAGTCATAAGCTGACAGTGTTATCTTATTTGTACTATGCCCTTTAGTAGCTAATGGCGTGGTACCTGACGGCAACAGTCCCAAGAATTCGATGGCCCAGGCTCAGTGGCCATCGAATTGTTTAGGCCTCCACGGCTATCCACCATGTGTGAATAGGGTAGACTACCACATAATAGCAAGAGCTACAAAAGGGCGTGCTTCCTCGCAAATAGAGTTAGCACTACATAGTACTAAAAGATAAAGCTCTCACTTCGTGACAGCACTCTTCCTTTTAATAAACTAGGACCTCTAAAGCTAGACCTTGCAACTATAGCTTGCTGTTCGCAATCTCGTGTGCGTCACATGGCCCATCCAGTGGAGAGAGGAAAGAAGGCCCACCAGTCGGCCATAGCCAAGCAGCCGAAGCAGCCTGCCTGGAGCCTGAGCTGGGGTGCTGCCATAGGCTTCTTTGTGTGTGGTTGGGTCGCCTGCTTCCTGTGGCTGCTATGGCCTACTCTTTGATTTGCTCAATGGAGCGCTATAGCCGGGCATATGGGACATGCTTTTTCCTCGACATGGTTTGGCGTTGGTACAACTCCCAAGTGCGCATTTTTGCCTTCTTGGAGCCAAGAGCGCAGTGCCTTTTCGCCAGATCCTGCGTGGTTGCCTTCGTGGAGCGAGTTGACCTGTCCTTTTCAGCAACAGGTTTTAGATTGGGAATGAGTGAGCAGAGTACGTGGGCTGTTCCCACGCCGCCAGTGGCTTTTTATAGTATAGATGAGGGTCAATAAGCATCCGTCTTTATAACCTTTAGCTTGCGTAGTCTCTGGGTGGAAAAAGGGAGAGCAGCAAACTTAAGCTGTATTTTTCCTCAACCCAAGTGATAGCTGTTGGTGCCAGCCATCCACACATCAGCGGGCTAAACTCGCAGCAGTGTGGGATACATGGTAACCGGCTCTCAGCTTTTGGGTCAGCTCGGTAGTTGCAAACCTTCACACCCATGAGCAAACAAACAAGCCAGCAATAGCAAGAACCGGAACGCAGCCTTAGCATCCTTTAGCTTGCCTATAAGTATACACCAGACAGATATGATGTACCTGACTTAAGCGTGAAGAAACACAAACAGATTCGGGAAGCATCAACATCATTATCTGGCCCCGGTGATTCTGGCGCAGCCATGTCTACCGGACTGGATTCGTACGCAGCCTTTGAGGCAAGAGCCATCAAAATAGGTTTAGAGCCTGAGGTCATCAAGCTGCTGAAGGATGGAGGCGTGAATAGCTTCGGATCCTATGCGTTTGTCACGGCATACCAGCCTGGACAGGGTGATGAGCAACCCCTTGTTGACTCCCTCAAGACCATCATGAAACGAGCACCCACAGCAACTGAGATGATCGGCCTTAGGCGTCTTTTCTTCGAAAGTTGCACCTTGGCATTGAGTGAGCTGCAGCAAAGATCAGAGAACAATAGCAACCCGGAGCCTTCCAAAATGCCCATTGCCGAGCGCAATTCACGGTTGGCGTTGCAGAGGGATAGGCTGAAAGGAGTTCATTTTAGCACAGAGACCGAGCCATCGCATAAACTAGCTGACTTGGTCAACCAGTTTGCCATCGACCAGAGCGTAGAGTGGCTACCATGGGAAAAGCTGACCTCCCGGTCCAGTGAGATCACCCATTCGGAGAAGGATCTGCGCATTTCTTTTGATTCGTCAGGCAACTTGAAGCTGGCCCCAAAGGAGTCGGCCAACGAGGCCCCTGTGAATGGAGAGATGCGGATTCGGCAGGCGCTAGCGCGACGAGCGCGCGCGTTTGACCTTGCAGAATTATGCAGTTTTACCAAAATGGAGGAGTGGCATGAGAAGCTCTTTGAGGCATACCAAAGGGAGCCCTTGCCGAACGCCATGCCCTTGTCGTTGAGTCAGCTTCGGGAAGCCGATAAGGTTTTGTTTAGGAAGCTGGCTGAAAAGACAAGGGGATCTTTGGTGCAAAAGGCAGATGGTACAAAGCCCATGGAAGCCGCCATGGATGACCTCATGAATTGTGCAGAGGTCCAGTTTTGTCTCATTCCAATGGTCAAGCAGTCACAGGCTCCCTCCACATCGTTCGAGCATTCCTCTCCGAAAGGCAAAGGCAAGACAAAGTCTCCCAATAAGCCGAAAAATGATTTCCAGCAGAAGCATGCAGGCGGTAAGGGCAGCCACATTGTTCTTCCGCCGGGGTGCCATCAGATGACACCGGAAGGCAAACCGCTTTGCAACTTGTTCAACAAAGGCCGGTGCACTTTTGCCAAAGCTGGAAAGCGTTGTCGCAGGGGATATCATTTGTGTTGGAAGTGCTTTAAGCCTGTGCCCTATGCCAGTTGCGACCACGGAGGATCCGTGGAGTGACTATCCGACAAGTCAACCGTTCCGGCGCCCTTAGTCGAGGAGACTGAGGGGCCTCCGGCAAAGAAGCTTAGAAGTGATTCGGCCCAGCCTGTTTTTCACTCCGCCGATTTGCCAAGTTTTCCTTTTTCGTCGCCAATGGGTCGAAGAGCAGTTTTCTGTGAAATTTTTGCAGGGTGCGGTCGACTCAGTAAGACTGCACAACAAGAAGGGTTTGCCATTTTGGCAGTTGATGGCCCTAGGAATTCGCATCGTGTCGAGTGCCCAATCTTGACTTTGGATTTAGCAGACGCTGCTGCGCAGCAGGTGTTGATTGGTATGTTGCAAGGGGTCCGGCCTCAGTTCATACATGCTGCTTTGCCTTGTGGAACTGGATCGCGTGCAAGAGAGAGGCCCATTCCTCTTGCCCTTCGGAAACGTGGTGCCCCTGCCCCACGGCCACTGAGGGATGCCCAGTACCCCCTGGGCCTGCCAGGCCTGACCGCTTTCGAAGTGGCTAAAGTTCGCAGTGCCAACCTGTTGGCGGCTTTCACCATTCAGGTCTTTGCAGTGTCGAGAAAATGGAACGCCATTTTTACGATTGAAAACCCCAAAAACAGCTGGATGTGGTCAGTCTTGGAACATTATGTCAAGGAGGCTAAGTGTCCTCCAACTCTGCAAGCGTGGAATGCCATGTCCAACATCTCTTTTAGCAATTGTGCGCATGGGGGGGACCGTCCCAAACAGACGACGCTGAGGTCTTCCCACAAGTTTTTGCACACCCTGCAGGCGCAGTGTCCAGGCACCCATCCGGGTACCCATGAGCATAAGCCGTACAAGCTGCGTCAGGAGGGGGATAAATGGTCTTTTGACACAGCGCTAGAAAGTGAATATCCACAGATCCTGTGCAGTCGCATAGTGTGTCAGGTCAAAAACTTCCTGAGTCCCACTTTCGATTTTCGGGTTCGGTCCACCCCCAAGGGTGCGCACAAGCAGACAAAGAAATTTGCTTCTTTGATTCCAGAATATAAGACTGTGGTGCATGAGCACCCTTCGCATTCCTTGTTCAAGCAGCTGGCTCCTCTTCCAACGGGGGAGCAAAACGGGTCACCAGCTCCAGCTTTTGGCATATATCATGATCCAAAAGAATTTGTGAATTTGGCAACAAGATTGCAACACCCTTTTGATGCACAGTTCGCTGTTGAAGATGCCACTCGAACCAACGTGTTTGAACTGCTGACAGAAGGGTTGCAGCGGGTAGCTAAGTCGAGATTACAGTTTGCAAGGATGTTGGCAGAACTGTCAAAAGAGCTAGCCTCTGAGGAATCTAGATTTTTTGCGTCGCTGCCTAACCATGCCCAAGAGGTGTTGAAGGGTAAGAGGCTTGTACTCTTCAAACACTTGTTGAAACTGTGCGAATACCCTGACCTAGAGGCAGCGGACTTGATGTGCGGTTTGGATCTGACGGGTGTTGCAAGTAAGTGCACCATTTTCGACACGAAGATTGTTCCGGCAACTTCCACACCAGAGTTCGCCCTCCTGTCAGCTAGGTGGCAGAGGAAGAAAATTGAGGCTCACAACATCCACCAGGATGATCCGAAGTTGTCTCAAGTTTTGTGGGAAAAGACACTGACCGAAGTGGAGGCCGGCTTTCTGCAAGGCCCTTTCTATAGTGTAGGGCAGGTGCAGGAGGTGCTGCAGCAGAAAGATTTTGTTTGTAGCCGGAGATTTGCCATTATGCAGGGTGGTAAGCCGAGGATCATAGACGATCTGAAGGAGTCCGGTGTAAACAGGACATACACCGCTGTGGACAAGTTGGAGTTACATGATGTAGACTATTTGGCCTCATTGGCAAGCTTCATCTCGACGACCATCCATCGAGCTAGGACAGCAGCTGACCATACAGTATCAGTGCAGCTTAGGGATGGCAGGGCCTTGACGGGGGTTCTCCACCCGGATTTCCGAAGAGACTTGAAGTGGAGAGGCAAATGCCTAGACCTTTCGAAGGCATATAAGCAAGTGCCAATCAGTGAACAATCGCGACCTTTCGCAGTGCTAATGGTACATCATTTCGAAACTGGCCAGCCGGTGTACTTCATTTCCAGGAGCCTCCCGTTTGGGGCCTGCTCCAGCGTGTTTGGTTTCAACCGCATATCCCGGGCTTTGTGGGCCATAGCCACCAAATTTTGCCGCATTTTGGGGGGAGTCTATTTTGATGATTTCCCAGTCTTGGAGGTTGCATCCGCCTGCACGTTGTGTACCATGTCCTTTGAAGGCTTGCTGAAGGCCCTGGGGTGGAACTTTACAGACGACCCCAGCAAGGTGAAGCCATTTGAGGACACTTTTGACGTGTTGGGCGTCCGCCTCAGTTGGCTAGTGGTATTTTCACCCTAGGTAACAAGCCAGAGCGATTAGAGAAGATCCGGGAATTGCTTGTGGACTTGAAGAAAGGCGGAAAGGTCACCAAGAGGCAAGCGCAAGTCATCCATGGTAACCTAAACTTTGCTATGGGTTTTTGCATGGGTCACACGTTGAAGATTGCCGCACGGGCTTTTGCATCCTTGTCTGCCGGCGATCAGAACGTCAGCCCTAAGGCGCTGAATAATTTGTGTGACTGGACCTTGGACCTTTTGAAGTTGCTGAATCCGAGAGAGTGGACCGCTGGGATGACTGGCGACCCGGTTGTGATTTTCACTGACGCTGCTTACGAAGACGGAGTTGCTACTTACGGCATTGTGTTCCTAGATGCTCCAGCGGGATACCGCACAGCGCTGGGCGGACGCATCCCGGATTTCCTTGTGAATGTGTGGCATGAGCTTGGGAGCGAACAAGTGATCACGTTGGCTGAAGCTTTTGCCGCTCTTCTGGCAAGATACCTTTTCCGATCTAGGATCTTGAAGAGAAGGCTACTTGTATTCATTGACAATGAGGGTGCCAGGCACACGCTGATTAAAGCGTCCAGCCATACCCTGGCCCTCTTGCAGATTGCTCAACTCTTCAACTCCTGCAGCGAATATGATTTTGCCCTGGCATGGATCGAGAGGGTGCCCAGCAAATCGAACATAGCCGACCTCCCCAGCAGGGGAGATACCCGTTTGGCCATAGAGCTGATCCAAGGTGTCCCTTTCACGGAAACAGTGCCAATTGTCGAGGTTGCTAAGTTGTGTGTCGATTTTTCCAGTCTGCCAACAGTCTTGACCCACACTGATAACTCCCAGGAAATTTCCCATCCTTCGTTTGACGACTTCACGGGGGATTGACACGGGTCACACTTGGATGGATCAGCCACAAACTTGAGTGGCATCACCATCTAAGAACTCTATCCAAACTTTTGGATGACAATGATGATTGTTCTTAAGACCTCTCGCCATAATCAGTTTGTGGCGACGTGTGTGCATTGCCCTCGACCAATCGTTCAAATAATGAAGGAAAAAGGAAATATTAATAAGAGCGCGAGTGGAATCACTTTTCAATTATAAGGTTTTGACCTTGCATGTTCAGCCTTCTGTTTTCTTTGCTTCCCCTGAAACGTGTTAAAGACGGTGCACATACCCGAAGGGGATGAAACAGTCTTTTCTAAGTTTCACA